ATTTTCAAACATATGGCTTCCTAGAGCCTACCTTTAAGGAGAAAATTAGTATAATTTATAGGATACGGCTGAGGAAATGACAATGAAGCAAACTCTCTCTAATGATACTATTCCTGGTAGTGAAATTAACACACTGTGAGAAATTATGCCTTAGTCTCATTAAATTTATCACACAAGTTAAAAGCAGAGCACAATGTGGTTAAGCATTGCATTGCCAACACAAAAGTTGGTGGTTCAAAACTATCAGCAGTTAGTCTCCTGCTCCCATAACGATTTACAGCCTCAGAAATGCTCTCCAGCAGTTCCACTCTGTCCTCCCAAGTTTGTTAGGAGGTAAACAAACATCATGTTTTTCTTGTCTTGCTTTGACTTTTTGGTTGATTCTAGTAGAAGTTAAAAAAATGTCTTGCATTGAGAAATGCTTTTTCATTTGAGTTCTATTCCTCCAGGTGGACTCCAGCAGATAACCAAAAGGTTAGGGGTTCTAGTCCACCCTAAGGCACCTTGGATAGAAAAGCTATATAATTTTCAAAAAATCAGCCATTAAAAATGCTAAGGACCAAAATTCTACTCTGATACACATGGAGCTTCCACGGGTTGGAATCAACTCAACAGTCATTAGCTGGGAGTGGTAGTGGCAAATTAGTAATCAAAAGACAGAATTAATAAAATAGGTCCTCATCAGAATCATTGTTAACAATATTCATAGAATCTACAAATGTTTACTGAGCACTTACCACAAACTAGAAACTGTTTTGACTATTTACCATGTGTTAAAATACATGGTAGGTAATGATTGAATTGCCATGCACAAAAATTAACAAAACTCAAGCAACATGACACAGCTGGTAGGTGGCAGACTAGAAATCTGGAACCAGACAGTCCTGTTTCAGAATGCTAATTAACCTGAATTTATAGGATCTTATTTAGAAAAATGTGTTTATTCTAACAAATATGCAAAAAGATATTTAAAATTCTGGCAAAAGCCAAATTACTATAAGTACAGGCTTTAGTTCAGGGCTCAAACTTTTCTTTAAAAGCAACACTAGAAGCTTTCAGCTATTAGGAAACAATTGAAAATACAATGACTTGTATCAGGTGCATCATAGTCTTTAAAATGATACTTATAATAACTGAAATAGTACAATATATGGTGGTTTACATTGGCTTTCTTTCATTTAGTATAATATTTTCAAGGTTTATTCAAATTACAGCATGCAAGAGTTTTGTTCACTTTTTAAAAAAAAATATTTGTGGTTTATTAAAAGTTTACAGAAAAAAAAAAGCAACACTAGAGACAGAGGAAAGGACCATGGTGGCACAATGGTTAAACACTTCACTGCTAACCAGAAGGTTAGGGGTTTGAACACAGCAGCCAATCAGAGGGGGCAATGACTAAGCAATCTGCTCCCATAAAAACAAAAACACAAACTTATATTGTCATCCAACTCCTTAGCAACCAATCCTACAGGAAAGAGTAGAATGAGTCCATTGGGTTCCAAAGCTGTATGTCATCTTTAAGGAAGCAGGATGCCACCTCCTTCTCCCACAGAGCAGCTGGTGGGTTCAAACTGTCGACCTCTGGTTAGCTGCTGAGCACTTATTACTGCACTGTGAGTATTTCCTAGAAAGCTCTGTCTCTTGGGCTCACTTGAGTAGAATCAATGTGCCATGCAGGCACCACGCAACATTAAAGACAGGAACTTCATCTTCTACTTGTGAGTGGGAAATCCTAGTATTATAGTCCTAACTCTATGCCCTAAAAAAAAATCCATTATTTACACAACTTTATACATTTAAGATAAAAAGGGTTGTTTTCCCAAAACTTCTGTGGCTTTGCATCATGTCCCTCTGTGGTATTGCAACTTACCTAACCTACACAAGAGGTGGTGGGAGGGGCCAGGGGTTTATGATATGCAAACTCAAAACTTGTAACATGCATACTCTTCCCATTCCCCAAGTTAGACACATATAAACCCAACTTAAGTGTGGAAAAGCACACACAAAAGAACAAAGTACAGTGCTTTGAAAAAATTCTTTTAAATTAGTAGATGAATACAGTAAAAAAACACAAGTTCCAACCCTTTTGTTGTTGTTGAGTACTGTCAAGTCAGAACCAACTCACAGCTGACCCTCCAGGGGGTTTTCAATGGCAGTTAACTGCATGGGCAGAGACAGTCCATCCTCCCAAGGAGCATCTGGTGGATCAGAATGGAGTCCAACCCTTGTTGTTGTTGTTATGTGCCGTCGAGTCATTTGCGACTCATAGCGACCCTATGCACAACAGCCCTAAACCCTGCTCTATCCTGCGCCAACCGCACTGCCTCTGACACACCCATCCCAATTACCCCAGTCACAGAATCAATCCATCTCTTAGAGGGTCTTCCCCTCCTGCGCTGTCCCTCCACCCTCCCAAGCATGATGTCCCTCTCCAAGGACCCGTCCCTCCTGGCAACATGTCCAAAGTATGTCAGACGAAGCCCCAGAATCCTTGCCTCCAAGGAGTAGCTTGGTTTAATCCTCTCCAAGATGAATCTGTTTGTTTTCCTGGCAGTCCATGGTACATTCAGTACTCTTCTCCAGCACCACAGCTCAAAGGCATCCACTCTCCTTCTGTCCTCCCTAGTCATTGTCCAACTCTCTGATACATAACAAGCGATTGCAAGACCATGGCCTGTATCAGGTGCACCTTAGTCTCCAGAGACTCACCATTGCTCCTGAGTACTTTAGAGAGGTCCCTAACAGCAGATTTTCCCATCGTGATATGCTTTTTGATTTCCTGGCTGCTGGTGCCAAGAGTGTTGACTGTGGAGCCGAGCAAACTGAAGCTGTGAACAATCTCAAACTCTTCGTCATCCATCCTGATGCTGCCTATTGGTCCAGTGGTGAGAATCTTTGTCTTCTTGACATTGAGCCTCAGTCCATACTGAAGGCTGCAGTCCTTAACCCTCTGCAGCAAGTGCATGAGGTCCTCCTCAGTTTCAGCAAGCAGGTTGTGTCATCTGCATAACGTAGATTGTTAATAGATCTTCCACCAATCCTGATGCCACAATTCTCCTCATAGAGCCCAGCCTCTCGGATAATCTGCTCTGCATACATGTTGAAAAGGTATGGAGACAGGATGCATCCCTGGCGTACACCCTTCCCAATTTTGAACCATGCAGTGTTACCCTGCTCTGTTCTGACTACTGCCTCTTGGTCCAAGTACAGGTTTCGCATTAGCATAATTAAATGTTCTGGGATTCCCATTCTTCTCAGAGTCAGCCACAGTTGTTATGATCCACACAAATGCCTTTGCATAATCAATGAAACACAGATAGATATTCTTCTGGTATTCTCTGCTTTCAGCTAAGATCCATCTAACATCAGCAACAATATCCCTAGTACCACGACCCCTTCTAAACCCAGCCTGGACTTCCGGCAGTTCTCTGCTGATGTGCTGGTCTAATAGTTTTTGGATAATCCTGAGCATGTCAAATAAAATGGAACTTCTTTAAAGAAGAAAAACATAGAGTGAACTGATTAAGCTACCCCTAAAATCTGTTTAGTATCCATAAATAAGGAACTCTCATGTTTATTTTCCAATTACTATTACCACCTGAAATAGAAATGTTTATCACATGTATGCTTCAATGATCTAGAATTTCTGTCCACATGAACTCTGGTTCCAAAGAGATGTTGAACATCACTCTTGCCGAGTTATCCCCAGCAGTGAAAGGATACTTAGAAAATTTATTACAGATGAGAGGATAAATGCCTTTTCCATAGGCTTCTAGTTCTCTACAAAGCAGCCAGAGTGGCCCTCTTTGATTCATTCAAGAATGTGGAACATAGAAGTTCAAAAGAAGAGTATATACATATGATTTCACATATATGTCATAAATTTCAGGAACTATCTATAGCAAAGAAAGTAACCTTTGATGTTCTAGGCCCAGTGAATGAGGGACAGAGAAATTACAAAATTGCAAAGTTACACAAGACAACTTTGGGAGATAACTGATACACTTATGGGTTGAATTGTGTCTCCTGAGAACACTTATTAGGGAGCTCTGATGGCCTAGCGCTAAGGAGCTGCACTGTCAACCTAAAGGCAGGCAGTTGAAATCCACTGCGGACACGCAGCTGCTCCACTGGACAAAGATGGACAATCTCCTCTGAAATGATTTAAGGCCTCTGAAAACCCACAAGAGGCTCAGCTATGAATCAATTCCAATTCAAGGTATATAACAGGAAGAAGGTTTATTGAAGCACTGACCCACACAATGTTTGTAAATAGTGCTTCCTTTGTTCAATTAGGTCATACTCAAGGAGGGTGGGTCATAAACCTAATCACTTCTGAGTTTTGAAAAGAGAAAAATGGACCAAAACAAATTAACACATGACAAGAATGTCATTTGAAGACAGAGCTGCATCTACAAGAACGCTGAGGAGCTCTGGTGGGCGAGTGGTAAGGAGTTGTGCTACCAAACCAGAGGATTGTGGGTTGGATCCACCAGCTGCTCCACAAAGGAAAGATGGACAGTCCTTCCCATGTGATTGACTCCATCTGAAAACCCACTGGCAGGTAAGGTGTGAGTTGGTTCTGCCTGGACATACACAACAACAGCTAGAAGATGAAACAGACAAAGAAATAGCTCCCACTAGAACTATGCCCTGATTTTAGACTTGTAGTCTCATGATCTGTGAGAAAATGTCTTTTCTTAGAAGCTGCCCATTTGTGACACTTTTTTTAAGGCAGCACTAGATAACTAAGTCAGAAGTGTTCATTATCTTATTGTGGTAAATGTGACACAGTTAATATGTGGGAGTATCACAGTTAATATGTGTGTAGTAAATACATCTTTGGATTTGTCTGATGAAATACATTATTTGATCTTGAAGGTTGATTATGTATCCAAACATATGCCAGGTTTATCTGATTGTACACTTTAAGTATGAAGCTCATTTCACCTAAATTAAACCTAAAAAAAAAAGATATGTCATCAAGAAATGTTACTTACAAAGACTGCAAAGCACTCAGCCCTCGGATGGCTTCACTGGGTACTGTTCTCAACTGATTGTTTTGGAGGGTTCTGGAAGAAAAGTTTTGGTTAGTAGATACTAAGTCTTTGTTACTCAAGTCTTAGAAAACTATTACTATCTCTGCTCCTCCTCCAAACCAATTTTTTTCCAAAACAAAATTTTAAAGAAAAAAGAAAAGAAGGCGAGAGGGAGAGAGAGGGAGTTGGGGGAGAGAGAGAGTGTAAGTAAAAACCATACAAGAAAACAAAGCTGAAAAAAAAGGAAAGCATGTCAAAAGCCAGACATGAAATCTGGGTCATAATATCAAGCCATGTACTAATGGGGTTGAGGAGGGGTAATCAACATTTCCAGTGAATTAAGTACCTTAGTTCACATTCATTAAAACATTGCCGCACACTTTTAAATTGATGACCATGCTTAGAAACACATTTTTTTTCAATGTAGTACCATCACTTGTGGCAAAGTGTTAATATTAACAATGAGTCATCAATATGCAAAGGCATTTGGCTGTGTGGATAACCACACACCGTGGCTAACTCTGAGAAGAATGAGAATCCTAAACCATCTGATTGTGCTTATGCAAAATCTGTACTTGGACGAGAAAAATCATCAAAAAAGAGCAAGGAAACACTGCGTGGTTCAAAACTGGAAAGGGTGCATGCCAGGGATGTGTCCTATCTTCATATTTTTTCAATCTATATTCAGAACAGACCATCAGAGAGGCTAGGCTCTAGGAAGAAGAGTGTAGCTTCAGGATTGGAGGAAGACTCATCAACAATCTATATTATGCAGATGACTCAATCCTGCTTGCTGAAACTGAGGAGGACCCGAAGCACTTGCTGCAAAAGGTCAAGGCCTGTAATCTTCAATATGGATTGAAGCTCAACATCAAGAACACAAAGCTTCTCATCACCGGTCCAATTCGCAGCATCATGATAGACGGTGAAGAGACTGAGATTGTTAGTAGTTTTAGTTTGCTTGGCTCCATAATCAACACTCTTGGTACCAGCAGGCAGGAACTCAAAAGACAAATTACACTGGGAGAGTCTGTGTCAGGTCAGGGACTTCTTCAGAGTATGAAGAAGCAATGACGTCAGTCTGGAGACGAAAATGCACCTGATCCAGGCCATGGTCTTCACAATTACTTGCTATCCAATCAGAAAGCTCGACAATGACTAGGGATGACAGAAAGAGAATAGAACCCTTTAAGCTGTGGTGCTGGAGAAGAGTACTGAATATGCCATGGACTGCTAAGAGAACAAACAAGTTTGTCCTAGAGAGGGTGAAAGCAGGCTGCTCCTTGGAAGTAAAAATTCTGAAGCTTTGGGCATACTGCAAAGAGGGACCAGTCCTTGGAGAGGGACATCATGCTTAGAAGGGTGGAGGGACAGTACAAGAGAAGAAGACCCTCAATGAGATGGATTGATTCAGTGACTGGGGTAATGAGGGTAGGTGTGTCAGGGACAATAAGGTTGGCACAGGACAGAGCAGGTTTCAGAACTATTATACATAGGGTTGCTATGAATTGCAAAGGACCCGATGGCACATAAAAAACAACATCATTAATCATTACTCAATCATGATCACAACCTATTATAATATTAATTATTAATAAAACACCTTTGTAATTAAAGGTGCCTTAGAGAGCAATCATTAATCTAGGTACTATTATAAATATTATGGTGAAATCTATTCCAATTCACAGCCCTAGAGAACAGAGTAGAACTGTCGCACTGGGTTTCCAAGGTACTAATCTTTCCAGAAGCCGACTATCACATCATTCTTCTCTGGAATAATTGAGTAGGTTTAGTGGGTTCAAATTGCTAAGCTTTTCTGTTAGCTGCTGAAGCTGAGCATTTAACCCTTACACTACACCAGGGCCCTTTTTTGCTGCTAGGTACCACTGATGGTTCTGATTTTTGGCAATCTTGTGTACAAGAGAGGGAAACATTGCTCCTATACCATCCTTACAACAACTGTCATGTTGAGTCCACTCTTATAGCCATTGAACTGAATATTGTCCTCATTTCTGCATGCTATCCTTCTCCAGGGAGTGTCTTTCCTGATAGCATGTGAAACAATGTCTTGGCATTCTTTTTTTTAACCAAGAATTCTGGCAATACTGCCGGTACTCCACGGCATATTGAATACTGCTCGTTAACTCCACCTTATTCAAAGGCACTGATTCTTCTTCAGTCTTCTTTATTAACTGTCTACTTCTCATATGCATATGCAATGACTGAAAACATCATGGTCTGAGCATAGTGCACTTTAGTCCTCAAAGTGTCATCTTTACTTTTTAACACTTTTTAAAGTCAGGGAGTTTTTGGCAGATTTATCCAATGAAATACATTTTTTGATATCAAGTATTGATGATGAATCCAAATCAAATTAAATACTTGACAAAAGAAATCTTTTCTGCTTATCATGATGTTGCTTATTGGCCCGATTGTGAGGAATTTTGTTTTAGGCTGAGTGGCAATCCATTCTAAAGGCTGTAATCTTCATCAGTAAGTGCTTCAAGTCCTGATCACTTTCACCAAACAAGGTTGTGTCATCTGCAAACTGAGGCTGTTCATGAGTCTACAAATTCTGATGTTATGTTCTTTTCTGCATAGCTGAGCTCTGTGTCTTACCTGCTCAGCAAACATGCATACTGAATGATTATGGACAAAGAATGCAATCCTGATTTTAAACCATTCAACACGCACTTGTTCCATCCAAAGGCCTTCTGGTCTATGCATAACTTTGACATGAGCACAAGAAAAGTGTTTTGGAGTTCCCATTCCTCTCAATGTTACCCATATTCTTATCCATTGTTATTATCAGCACAGATGATTGGATGCCTTTACATGGTCAATAAAACACAGGTAAACATCCTTCTGGTATTTATTTTCTGCTAAGATATGTCTGATATTAGCAAATATATGCCTTATTCTACCTGCTCCTCTGAATTCAGTTTGAACTTCTGGAAGTTCCTTGCTGATGTATGCTACAACTATCTTTGAATATCTTCAGCAAAATCTGAAGTGTTCAACAGCCCCAATATTCTTTACAATCACTTTTCTTTGGAATGGGCACAAATACAATTTCCTTCACGTGGTTAACAGCTATCTTCCAAATGTCTTAAGCATAAATACTTCTAGTATGGCATCTAATGGTTAATTGGGAGGCAGAGAATGTGAAAATAAATCTATGGGACTCCTTGGCGCATTTTAAAAATGAATGAAGCAGAATCTAGAAACATAGACAAGAGAAATAGCCAATTTTTATATTCTTCTATGCAAGCAGGGTCAAAGACAAAAACAGAACCCAAACAACAGTACTACAAATAAATCTTCTCAGTTTTTTTCTAACATTATTACTGCGCACATTCATAAAATGACTGTTTCACATGAATTGTTATAATCACAGAATAGCAGAGGGGAAAGGAGATTAATTTACTTGCTGAGAATAATGCAACAAGTTAATGGCAAAATTGAGAGCCAGTCCACCTTCTCACCCGCTCCCCCAGCTCCAAGCACCTGATCCCAACCAAGAATTGACTCTGATCTCTCTCAGGCTATATAAAGCACAGGCACCTCAATCCTCTTTATCTCGAAAATGATATTAATATTTACAGTCCCTGTAAGCTTCTTTCCCTTTAAGGTCAACAAATTCAAAGTTCTTAAAGCAGTATAAGAAGTTGAAACAACCCTTTCCAGCTAAGCTTAAATATGGTTTTGATTCAATCAATGCACTAGATATACAAAAAGCCTAACTTTCAACTCTAATGCATTGAAGGTCAGGATGTCCATTATTTTAACTTTCGTTATCTAGACCCAACATTGCCTGAAATCAGCCTCTAGCCTCCCACTCTACCCATCAGCCACTCCTTAAATCTTTTAATCCTGCTCTAAAAGAAACTGTGCTTAACCTAGCTCCAGGCATGTTGACTATGCAGAAAGAAAATACACAGCCAGCTGTGAAACTCTAAAATTGCATTACTTACAGAACTTTGAGTTCTTTCAACCCGGACAAGGCTTTTGGGTGGATAAAAGAAAGGTCGTTGCCAGCCAATCGTCTAGAAAACAAAACAAAACAAATAAAAGGCAGCAAGAGAGGAAAAAAAAGAAAGTAATTCAGACTTTTATAATTCAGAACTCATAATAACATAATTTTTTATTAAATCACTATATTATACACTTCTCAAGTCTATCTGACATTAAACAAGGACTTAAATCTTTACTATAAAACGATTGCAGGATTTTCCTAAAGCGATAAGTGACTCTAGAATTTTCCCTCTTAAGTCCCAGTACAATCATTTAAACAGGCACATTTTTTATTCTGGTGAGGTCAAGCAAGCCAAAACACATTAAACCAAATGAAGTTTGCTATTCACGATCACTCTCGGCAGCTTGCAGTGTTTTCCAAGGGCCTCATAAACACAAGACTAGTGGTCAGCAAGCAGGAGTGTTGACACAGATCCCAGCAAACCAGTCCTGTTAGAGGAGGAATGGCTTTGGGAGACACAAAGCACATGCTCTGCAAAATCATCTGAGCACGTGGGAGGGAGAAAGTGAGAGGTACAACTTTAAAAACAAGGGCCTGTTTTCCAAAAGAAATATCCTAAAGAAAATCTAAAGTGACAAATTTTGGTGGGAATAGAGAGGGGTGGAGTATGGTGATGCTTACTTATTAAGAGAGATCTAATGATGTTGTGGTAAGGAATTACACTACTAATGCAAAGGTACTGGGTTTAAATACACCAGTTGCTCTGCAGGAGAAGGACACGCAATGTCTTCTCATACAATTAACTGCCTTTGAGAACCTGCTGGAGGTTCATGGGCAGATCCAACTCTGAAGTACACAACAACAAGGTGGTGCGATCTCTTAACACAATCAGCTGTTAATGGGAAGGTTGGAGGTTCTAGTCTGTCCAGAAAGCACTGACCTCAAAATGGAGCCCTGGCACACAGTGTTACAAATCAGTCCTTGAAAACTCTATGGAGCACAGTTCTAGTCTAATACAGATGAGGTCACCATGAGTTGGAAATGACTCAACAGCAATTTTTCTTCTTTTAAGGAAAAGATAAAAATGCTTTAGGCGTTTTTTAAAAAGAAATCTGAGTGAAATACTTTTTTCTAATTCTCACTTTTTCTCTCACTTTCCTGGGTACACAGAAATGGGAGGATGCTCATTATTACGTAGAAGTAGCAGGAAGCTGGGCATATAAACTCATAATTTATAAACAGGTGAACTGAAACAAGGTGAGCAAATACTTTAAAATATTAACTGTGTCCCTATGATTAAACAAACAACTCGCTCAGTTTCCTGGTTTGCCATTTGCAAGAAGGTAGATTCTATATCTAGGGATTGATTTTTTTTTAAGGGATTGATTTTTAAATGCTCTGTTCACCTCCTGTCTCAGGACCACACAGTTATCAAGTTCTAGTATTGCCATCTTTGTAGGGTCTATTTCCACTTGTCCTGTCTACTCCCCTCTCTGGGCATCCACCGATTTCATTCACTACAAAGTAATATTCATTTTACAAAATAAATGCCTATTTCTTTCAGTGTAGTGTATTAAAGAACCAGCTACCCAGAGGCTGGAAGATTGAGTCTACTCAGAGTCAACCTGGGACCTACTTCTGATAGATCAGCTGTTGGAAGCCCTGTGAAGTATATTCTACTCTGACTCATAGGAAGTCCACCACAAACTCAACGGAAAAATCAAGAGTCAAGTATTGCACTAGATATTCAGAAGCCTCAGACCGTACCGATGCAACAACCCCATTTGCCTCCTTCCAATGTGTTCCACCTGGATACTATTAACATAGATGTATGAATGAGTTAGAAGTTCTGTGTATGGAAGGTGAGTAACAAGGAAGGGTGGGTGGAGAGAACAAAGCTGGCAGGGTGGAGTGGAGTAAAACCAGAGGTCACAGAAATCAAAAGGTAAATTTTAAAACTGTTTCCTCAATTCCAAAGGTAACAATATATATTATATACTTGAGTAACACTGTAACTCCAACACAGGGTTGATGCCCTTCAATGATATTCTTCCTCAAAACTACTTTCACGTGCTTTGTTTCTCAAAAGGCCCCCTAGTATCTAAACTACACATTGCATGGCTTTCAATGTTTCCCATAACCCAGCTCCACAGGATCTTCTTAAGGCCATCAGCCGTAAGTTTTACCATACATAAAATGAGAATTTTTTTAAAAGGGAGTTTTATGCCTTCCTTACTCTCTCTATTTAAAAATCTCTCTCCAAAATAAAATGTTCAGATTCTTGATTATCCAGCTTCGCCAAAGTATCTTTATTTAAAAGAAGGATTTACCCTCACCTAACCACCTCATGCTTATCTCTTAAAAATGCCAATCCTATGCGACTTCTCTTGAAAACTTCAGTTTCCATAATTGCGTCCCACATCTGAGTTGCTAGCGCTTATAATTCAACTTGATCACAAGCTACCTTCTATTAGTTATTTCTTGCACATTAGTCTTGAAGGTCAAGTACGGATTCTTCCAAAAGACACAGCATGAAACTCACACCTCTGTGGCTGTTACTCCTGAGGTGTGACTTGTGGTGACACCATGTATACAGAGCAGAACTGGTGTTCCACAGGACTCTGACTCTCAAGGCCAGGAACTTACAGAAAGCAGATGACAAGGTCTGTCTTCTAAAGTGTCTCTAGATGAGTTTGAACCAGCAATCTTTTGACTAGTAACAGAGTGCTCAACCATTTACACTATCATTACACTACTGCCGCTACTACTGTTGTTAGAGGATGTTCTGATTCACAGTGACCCCAATGTAAAAATAATAAAACATGGCCTGGTCCTGTGTCATTCTCCAAACTGTTGCTGTGTTAGAGCCCACTGTGGAGTCCATACTTTTGAGGGTTTTCCTGTGTTTTACTAAGTCTCTGTCAAGCACATTATCTTCCTCCAGAGACTGGACACTCCTGATAACATATACAAAGTACAAAGTCTAGCCATTCCCTCTTCCAAGAAACATTCTGAAGGTACTTAGTCCACAGATTTTTGTTGTTGTTGTTCTTCAGGTAATCCATGGCAATCCAATACTGTTTGTCAGTATCAATATTCAAAGAAATCAATTCTATAACTTTTCTTATTTATGCATTGTTCCCATGCATATGAGACAACTGAAAATATCATAGCTTGGGTAAAATGTACCTAAGTCCTCAAAGTGCTATCTTTGTTTTGTATCACTTTAAAGTCTTTTACAGATTTGTCCAACGTGATAGATACATCACTTGCTATTTTGATTCCTGCTTCTATGAGCATTGATTGTGCTATCAAGTTAAATTGCATCCTTGACAGCTTTAATCTTTTATCATGATGTTGCTTATTGGTCTAGTTGTGAAGAATGTCATTGTTTCTATGTTGAAGTGTAGTCCACACTAAAGTCTTTCGTCTTCATCAATAAGTGTTTCAAGTCTTCTTCACTTTCAGCAAGCAAGGTTGTGTCATTGGCATATCACAAGGTGTTAACGACTCTTACTCTAATTCTTACATTTTATTCTTCATATAGTCCAGCTGCTCTGATTATTTCCTTCATAGAGGTTGAATAATATGATGAAAGGATACAGCCTTGACACATATCTTTTCAGATTTTAAACCACTCAGTATCTCCTTGTTCTGTTTATGTAGTCTCATGGTCTACATACAACATGCAAACTAAATGTTCAACACAACTAAATGTTCTGGAATTCCCATTTCTCACAGTGTTGCCTATAATTTGTCACAATCCCCTCAGTCAAATGCCTTTGGGTAGTCAATAAAAACATACAGGTAAGCCTCTCTCCGGTATTCTATGCTTTTAGCCAATGTCTATCTGAGACTGACAGTGATGGCTCTCATTTCATATTTTCTTCTGAAACTGCTTAAATTTCTAGCAGTTCTACTCCAATCATTTTTCATTATTTTTAGCAAAATTTTTCTTGTGTGTGATGTTAATATTACTGTTTGATAAATTCCACATTCTATTGAATCACTTTTTTTAGGAATGGACATAAATATGGATCTCTTCTAATCACTAGACCAGGTCACCGTTCTCCAAATTTCTTGGCAAAAAAAAGGTGAGCAATTTCAGTGTTGTATCCATTTGTTGAAACATCTCAACTGGTCTCCATTTCAGCAATTCCTGGAGCCTTTTCACTGCACCTTGAACGTCTTCCTTCAATGCTCTCATAAGATACTTGGTCGTAGATACCTTGAGAAATGGTTGACCATCAACCAACTCTTTTTGGTATTGATTCTGTGTAGTCCTTCCATTTTCTTTTGATGCTACTTGGGTCCTTCAATATTTTGCCCATAGAATTTTTTAATGCTACAACTCAAGTCTGGAATTTTGCTATTCTTCAGTTCCTTCAACCTGAGAAATACTGTTTCTCAAGAACATTTGTGTTACTGTTACTATTCACAAAACAGAAAATTCCTTAGCCAAATTTGCTTTCTCAGAATCCCTCCTTCAAAATGCTTACCTTTTTTTTTTCCTCTTAAAAAAAAAAAAAAAGCAAGCTCACCATTTCCAGGCCAGTGCCTCCCAGGAGCCAACATTAGCATAAGCTGACTTTAAATCCTAAGATGTTCTACACCCTATAGTACACTAATTAAAATTAAAATTATGATGCATTACAAATTATTTACAAGGTCACATTTTAAAATATTTTCTTTTACTCACAAGGGGAAGTGGCCATTTTTTCCCATGGTCCTCACATAATTGTTTATGGATCTGTTCTCACTAGTCTGAAACAGTTGTGTTAAAAAGCTAAAGTATATAGACCCAAATACAGAGACATAAAGAAATAAAACATAAATGGACTTGGGGCTGTTATGAAATGCTAGTTCTTTTGTCTTCAGTATGTTTTTAATGCTCTTCTATCTCTTGAAGAGTGTAGCCTGTTGTGTAAAGTCTCATGAAAAAGAGCATTGTGTTAAGTAACAATGGAAGTGACAAAATACAGAATACCTCATAATCTTTACTTGTCAACAGACTTGAGTGTTTAACCACATCAGCCAAAATATTTGCTTCCTTTTCCCAAATCTCTGTGC